GGAGCGGGACGGGCCGTGCCGGGCCGGGGGAGGTACGTGAGGCGCGGGGGGCCCGGGCCGTGAGGGAGTGGGGCGGCGCTGCCCTTGCTCGGGAGGACGGGATCCTTGCCAGGCGGGAGCCGCCCGTGCTCGGTCCCGGCCGTGCTGGTTGGTCAGAGTCGGGCAGGGGCTACATCCCCGCCAGCGGCGATACCGGGAGGCTGCCCGGCAAATCCGAGACTTTCCGTTTTATCCGCCTCCGTTTCCGTTGTTCGGTACCCATTTAAATACAAAATCATTGCCGTGATTGAATAAACCCCCGCCTTCCCCTCCCGTTCCGTTGTTCTTGGCTCTGGTGAGATGCGGAACCGCCCGGCGGACAGTGAGCAGGGTCGGGTCAGAGCCCCGTAGCGGCGGATCTGCACCGCACACGCTCCAGGATGAGGCGCAGGGATGAGGGGGATTGTGCACCGGCAGGGCATTTACTGTGCGCGTCAGGGCAGACAGCACAGGGCCTGCCGGAGGGGCGATGTGGGAGCTGCCGCTGGCGGCAGAGCCCGCAGCAAGGCCAGGCCGGGAGGGGCAGGCCGGGTGGGGAGCGGCGCCGGCTCACCTAGGTCGATCTTTAACAGCATTGCTGCAGTCATGGTGTTTCTGCTCGTGCTGTACTTGCTAGGGGCCCTGCGAGTGCGGATCTGCATAATATGTGCTGGGAATAAACCCGTTAGCATCCACCAGTATGCACTGCACATCTCTCCTGCCCTGCTCAGTACCCAGCGGTAACCGAGTAGAGGTTGTCGCTTCTTTTCTTTTGTTTCAGTTCAAATCTGCTTCGAATTAGTGATGCACTTACCATCTTCTCAGTATGATGAATGGTTCATATCCATTAAGTGTTAATCAAACTGGAGAAATAGCGTCACTATTCAATGTAGCTTTGCTATAACCAACCAGGCAAAAAATCATACTTGAATGATGAAAATTTGTGTTCATAGCAGGCAGACTGCAGTATGGGAGAGGAAAAGGTGTTTTGCAAGAAAAGCAAAACCAAGTTCAATTAGTCTTGCAAGAGGTAAAATGATGGAAACAGTGTTTTACAAAGGAACTGACTAGGCCAACCATGAGAATGATTCTACTGTGGCAGTTGCCAGCAGGTTTGAATCATACATAGCTTCTCATTTATGTATTAAAGAAAAAAAGAAGAGGAAATAACTGAAAGATATTTCTCTGTGAAAACTGTTTTGGGTTGCTCCAGTGTTGGGAGCTAACTCAAAAACACAAGCAAACTTGCAGGGGGGAGGAAAAAAGGGACAAATAGATTTTATACTGCCTGTGTGCACATATCTGAAAATTCTTTGCAAATGAGAAATCAGACTTGAAGAATACTCCATGCCCTCTCACGTTTGATTTTCCTGGTTTTATTCAGAAATGAAATTTTCTGTTGTGCAAGACAGCGATGCACCAGCTAAGTCCCAGTTATTCTCTCACATAAAGATCCCCTTACATGAAGAATCTTTAATAAAAACCTTGTCATGGGGATTCAGAAAAGAGAAATTGTAGTGCTTGAGGTAGAGAAATCTGAACAGTAGGAGACAAATGGTAGCTGTATTTCATGGCTTTAACAATGGCAAGAAACCAAATTAAAATTTGTTTAAAATGTTAAGTTCCTTCCTCTTATATCCCTTTAATTTTTCCCCAACTTACAGCTTCACATATAACTTAAAAAAAAATAATACAGAGAAGATAGGTTAAATCTTGTTTACGCTTATTTAATGTAATGTATGAAAGGCAGTCGTTTAACAGAAGCTTCTTAGAATAAGAGTGTTCATGAGACTCATTCATACAGGTTAAAAGAATTAGTGCTGCTTTGCTCTGTCCTCTTGAAGGAGAAGGAAGGTAGAAGTATTTATATTCCTTCTTTGTGCCCTCTCCGTATGGACTGGTTGGACCAGAGTGCACACACATTAGGAAGGGCTGACATGCACATTGTTGGCTCTGATGGAATGTTTCAGTAGTGCATGGCTCTCTGGCACTGTGCTTGTCCTTTCTGGAACCTTGAGTACCTCTTCAAAGAGAGCCTGTGAAAGAGAGTAGTGTAAAGCTGGTAGCACTGTTGCTCCAGCCTTTCAGACTTACTGGAGAACTGAATTGGGAGAGTGTGGTGGAAAACATCTTCACAAAGAGTTACTGAGCTGGGGCTTTGATATCCTATGATTGAATCCTGCTGCCTTGTCCATTCAGCGTTTCTCATGGTTTGGCTGGAATACGAGCCAAATTATCAGTGTTTTCCTGAAAATCCTATGGGCAGTAAATATGTGATGTGATACTCTATCTGTGTCCATTTGGCCCTATCTGTCTATTCAGTACTGCTTTCAGAGAGTGAATTTCTTAAGTTGTCCCTTAGTAGTCCTAAAGCTACTGATTCAGATGTAAGTTGTGTTCGAAATGTCCCATTTCCATGTAATGTTGTATTAGCAATGAATTTTTAATTACTTTGCTGTAGGTTTTTTCTTGAGAAACTCTTGATTTTCCAGCTTTTAAAGGAAAGCTTTCTATTCTTGCAGGTCCCAAAGGGAACTGCAGTTATTCAAGATCTAATATTGTTTGCTTATTCAGAATCTAATATTGTTCTGTTGACAAGAGATGGAACTCTCTTGCCAGCAGTTAGGAGATTTATGCTGGAACTAAATTCAACAGAGGCACCATGCAAGTGTATTATTGGAAAGCTCATCAAACAGTAAATGAGATGCTGCACAAATGCTCATGCAGGCTGTAATTGCTACTAGTAAAAGCACAGAGGAAGCTGCAAATTTTGTTACGGATACCAAACACTGATTTAAGACAGCTTCAGAGTATTCTCAAAGGACTACTTCCTTTTAAAAACAACTTCAGAAAGTTACTAAGAGTGTTTTAAATGAGAGCAAAGATAAATAAATATATGCTGAACATCTGGGAAGCAAAGCATTTAGTCTTTTATAGGGATGATCTTCCTGATAAAATATGGCTGAGTAGTTGCACAGACATAAGCACTTCATGGTGTTGAGTAGATATGAAATTTTCCTTGACTAACTGAGGGAGACAACAAGCAGTTCTTAAAAAAGGTTGCAAAAATGGTTTTACTTTGATGTGCCGATACCTAAGCTGTGGGCATCTTACATATAAAAAGAGTCATGACACTTGAGCAGCATCATTAAGACACACAAACAATAATAGGAGCATTTAAAAAACTGTGAAATTACAGAACATTCATGTTTTAGTATACTTTGAGACTTACAGATTAATCAGCTTGAATCACAGCTACTAATGATGTGTCAGGTTGGTCCTGCCAGTTTTACAGTATTGAAGAGCTGCCATGTTGGGTGTCTTGAAAGTGTTGTTCAGGTGTTTAATGGGACTTCTCTTTATTAGGTTTTCTTGTCTGAAAGCTAGTGAACAGGGTTGGGGAGGTCAGGAATACATTTGTAGCACATTTTGAATTTATAGGAAAAAGCTAAAGTACTGACTAGCTGATCATGGCAACTAGCTTTACAATAGAAATAGAACTGCCTATTTTAGCTTATTTCTTCAGATTAAGCATTTGATTACTTTCCATTCACTGGAAGTTCATTTCTACAATTTCTACAATTACACAGCAGAGACTCAGACAGTCTCCCCACACTAATCCTTCCACCCCTCAGAGCAGCTATGCCAAATTCAGAGTACATTGAAGCTATGGAATACTTTCCTAGTGATGATCCTATTTGGGGCTATTTTCAGTAATTACAGTACTAGCTGTAAAGGGCATTGCAGAGGTCAGTGATAAAGTCCTCACTTCGTGGTTTCAGAGCTTTGAATGGAACTCAGCTCACTGTTATGGAAAAGCAGCTGTTGACAGTATTTCTGTATTAATTACATTTCAGAGTACTTAATTGTAGCTAAGGACAAGAATGTGCAATCAGTCTTTTTTCCCATGTTCACAGCCTCTCTTGCCAGTGAGCTCCACTTTTGTCTTGTGAGCCTGCTGTGACTTTAGTCCAGATGTTTCCGTGCCAAGAATTTGAAAATCAGTAACATTGCAAATCCAGATTTAGTCAAAAGAAAAGTTAGAGACATGGGAACAGCTCATTGAAGGCGTCTTAGTTAAAATAAGTTTTTCTTCTGTATGGACTTCAGAGTCTGATAGGATGGAAATGGCTGAGAAGAATCATGTGGAATTTTGCATGTCAGAGGAAGGATAGGAAGTCCTTGCAAAGAAGCTGCAAAACTGCAGGGCTGCTTGTTGCTGCAGAGCCTGTAAGGTGCCTTGCAGTCAGGCAGTAACAGGAAAGTCTGTCAGTCTACTGAAAATAAGCTTGAACAGTTTGCTTTGGCCTAGATGCAGATAATGACCCCACGTACACCTTCAGTCCGCTCTTAGGTAAGCCTAAAAGCCAAGAAATGGAAGGCACATCCTTTAGAATAGTCCTAGAAACACCTTCAGTACCTTACCTAGAATGGTTTTGTGCTGACATCTCAAAGTGGTCTCTGCTGGCACTTCTTCATGGAGAAGAATCTTGTGATTCCTGAATTCTGGTGATGTACTTTTCCTACTGTTTGTTAAAGCTTAGGAACTTTGTTTCAAGACCTTTACCTTGAAAGTGCTGCAGCTGTTAACACACTTTGCTGTTGGCCTACTGGTGTGAGGAATTTTAATGTTATTGGATTGATTTCTTATGTTCAGCATTTGTCAATCTTTTTTGCTTTTCACATCTTATGTTCTGATGAGACAAGAAAGTCAGGTACTGAGAAATTAATTCAGGGATCTCTACATGTCTGAAAAGAAATCTGGCACTCAAAAACAGAGTAACAGGAATATATCTTCAGTATTTAGAGCAATGTAAGTAATTTTTGTTAAATAATAATTTATATATCCTATATTGATATTTTTGTAGTGTTGCCAGTTCTAAGATATTCAACATGAAATCCATCTTTAATCACCTGGTGCCAATTGCTTGACAGTGTTTGGGATAAATCAAATTACTTAGTCTTGTGTATAACAGACTGATGTCCCCACTTCTATAAGAGCATCTTTATTCTAGTCAGCACTGGAAGCGTAGCAAGTGAGCTGCCCCTTTACTGACAGGGTAGGGTTTGTGCCTCTGGGGCTGCCTGCTCTGCACTTAGGCTGCAAGGAGAGAGCTTCAGTTTTCCAGAGTGCTTCAAATTAGCAGCAAATTAGCATACTACTAAAACTTGTGAAGGAAGAAAGGAGTATGTGAGAGGATTTGAAGGGAAGTCTTATGCCTGAAGCAGAATATGTATCATGGGAAATTCCGTAATCCCTATCTTCCTACTTAGAAGATAGGGTAGGCAGCCAGGTGGGATTTTACTGCTCAGTTTCCGTAGGTACTACAAAGCTGTCATCTGCCAAGAGCAGTCCCCTGGATCAGTTTGCTACTCCAGTTCACTACGAGGCCACACAAGCATGCCTAGGGACACATCTGGCACCTAGGCAGCTTGGGGCAGATGAGTAAAGAAGGGCAGTGGCCAAGTGCTTCCTCTGTTTCCGGGTATCCACACCCTCCCTTGATTGCTTATCAAGCCATGGTCTAATATCCTAAGTGGAACTTAGGGCAAAAGGAAGGGCCCTGCTATTACAGTCATTTGGTGCACCAGGAGCTTGCTGTGATTGTGTGGTCTGCTGCACAGCTGCACTTGTTAAAAGCATATTGTGACAAATGCAGCCATTTCTGATCTGTAGATGAATAGAATCTGGATGAATGTTAACAGAAGAACAACTGCTGTGGCATACAAACACTGTTGCACGTCTGATAATCTTTGTCAGAGTATCACTGGAAGCTGCCTGCTGTCCAACATAGCTCCTCCAGAGCGGGCTGTGGATCAGCTCCTCTGGAAGTGGAGCCCTACCAGATTCTCAGATGCAGCTTTGTGTGCATTTAATAGGAAATGGGTCTGATATTTGTTAACAGATATGCTATTGTATCGATTTAAAAATGTACGGAGATCTATTCTAAGCTTTATAGCTGAGCACCTTTATATGTGTGGGCAGCCATGGTGTCGAACAATACTGACATTCAGTGGTTGATTATACTTGCCACCGTTGTGTGACTGTCCAGGAGATTTTGGAAGGCTTTAATGTTCAATGCTGGCTAAATTCAGAACATGTTTACTTGAACTGGATTAAAGCAATTGTGTCAAGGCTCCTTTATAAAAATGCTGTGCTCACAGTATTAAAATTGTCTGGTTTTCTTAACAAAGTAAATTAGAGATTAACTTGGTTCAGGAAAGAGATAGTAGAAACATGAAATAGCACTTTGTACCTTTGTTTCCTTTCCCACTTTTAAGCAAATTTGCAATCACAGTTTCTAGAAGAACTTCCTTTACATTCCATATTGGCTTAGATTAATATTTTTGTCCACCTTTTAACTGTTGGTCTTTTTTTGTCGGCTACCAAAGACAGCATGCTCTTGGCAGGAGGTATCTGAGACCTGGCATGGCCTCAGTGAAGATGAGCACATTGCTGTCATGCATGTGAAGGAGCAGCTGGAGTTTAGAATTTGGAAAGCTGGATCTTGGCTCTCTTCCCACATCTGCTGACTTAGGTGGAGGGAAATAGCATGCTGACAACCTTCTTGAGCTGTCCTCTCTCACTGTCTTTGATGAGCTTTGGAAGACATACTTTTGTTTTGTTAAAATCTGGAGGGCCAGACCATTTTTCATTGTTACAAGTGTATTGGTAGATGAGCTAGTACCCTGGGTAGTTTAGACTGACACACAGCAACACAAGCTCACTCTGGGTGGAGCTAAGTGCTTATTCCAGTATTATGGAATGAGATTTAGTCATACAGTGTTTGGACTCATTAAAATCTCTGTAGGACTGGGCCATCTGCATCTAGATGCTTCCATGCTATCTTTACATTAGCATGCTAACATGTAAAAGCATGTTAACAGAGAAGGAGCAAATTTTATCTGCATTTTAGGACAAGATCCTGGCCAAACATGGTAAAATTATTGAAACCTATGACAGGTTTTTGGTAGGTGTGTTTGGCTTCTCTTGGACATGCAGAGTTGATGGTGGCCTTCCTGTTTCAAGGTGTGGACACCCAGTAATTGTCTGGTCTCTTTGCTGTCATGTTTGAATTCCCCAAAAGCTAACTTTAAATCCTGGATCTCCATTGCTATCATATGCCCATTTCCACCACATGCCCTATGTCAGTTCTAGCACTCTCTGGCAGTGTAATAACTTGCATTAGGAAGCTGATCTGACCAGCAGCTCCTTTTGCTGGGTCAGTTTCTGGCTGGACCATTTCCCTAATGTAGATAATTGCAGAGCCACAGACATTACTCAAATCAATACCTGAGAGGCAAAAGGGAAGGAATCCAGTGCCAGGGGCAGCTTCTTCAGCTACTGATAAATTTATGCTTGACATGGGGTAGCAGGTTAACTTCACCTTGAGAAGCCGCTATTGGGGTTGCAGTTTGGTTTGTTCTCCAAGCCCAAGTTTTAACTGGAACTTTTTATAAGAGAATCATTATGCTGCAGGTCAGCCAAAGCATTGTATCTGTCTCATGTAAAGGCTGAAGAGATAAACTGAAGTCTTCTAGAATTTGTGTCCTCTGTAGATGCAGAGATAATAGTCTATTCATTTTATCAGCTACTTAGTTCACTTACTATTGCACTGAAAGTTGAGAAATAGACTTGGAATTATTTTTTTTAATAGGCACATAAGCTTCTTGCCCCATGAATAAAATGAAGGATCAGTGGCTGAGGCATGTTATTTGTAAATCTTTAAAGAGATAAGAAAAAAGTTACATTCCTTACCTGCAGTTCATACTCCCCTTTTACATAAGTGAGTTTTTAAGTGAAAAACATTTTATGTAAACATATTTCATGTATGACAAACACATTTGAGGCAATTTTATTCATTAAATCAGATTTAAATGGCTAGTTTTGTGTACTTCTAATGAATTCCAACCCTTTACCCAAGTCCAGCTTGGCATAGATTATAAGACTAATCTGCCAGCAAGTAAAAAGCACTTTTCTAGTTCAACAGCTGAAAGCTGACAAGCTAAAGAGCTGTATCTTTAAGACAGAGCAATTCTAAGGTATGTGAGCAACTTCCAGGCCAACTGCACTGCCATAGGAAACTTTCTGTATGAGTAACTCACATCGGCAAACACGTTTGAGTGAGTGCCAGCTCATGGGAGTCAGCTTTTCTTTAAGAAATAAATTACAAATACCAGATAGGTTGAAAGCTGAAAACAAGGGTGCTTTCTTCATGCTTGCATTGTGATATACGTTAGCAACTTAATCCAGTGGCAAATATTTTTTTGGTGGAATGTTCTTCTAAATAAAGAAAATGGAATTCTGAGAAAAGCAACAAAGTAGATATTTTTCTTAAAATCTCAGTGCATGTTAATAAAGAGTAACCGTCATAAGAAAGGGAATCTGGGTTAAGAAATGTCAATCCACATATCCTTTTGTTTATTTTAACTTCTTTTAATGTGTTTCCAACAGAAAATGATCCACAGCCTGTTTCTTATAAACTGTTCTGGTGATATATTCTTGGAGAAGCACTGGAAGAGCGTTGTGAGCCAATCTGTGTGCGATTATTTCTTTGAAGCTCAGGAGAAAGCAATTGATGTTGAGAATGTGCCTCCTGTCATCTCAACTCCACACCACTACCTCATCAGCATCTATCGGGATAAAATCTTCTTTGTGTCTGTAATACAGACAGAAGTGCCACCCCTCTTCGTAATTGAATTTCTGCACCGAGTAGCAGATACTTTCCAGGTCTGTCACCATTCAATGATTGTAAAATTCAGTGTCTGAAGGGGACCTGTGGGGAAGCCAGAGATTCTTTGTCAGGAGCTATAGTGATAGGACAAGGAGAAATGAGTACAAACTGAAAGAGGGGAAATTTAAGCTAGATGTTAGGAAAAAAGTCTGTACTGTGAGGGTGGTAAAATAATGAATGGAACAGGTTGCCTGGAGAGGCTATGGATGCCCTGACTGTGGCAGTGGTCAGGGCCAGGTTGGATGGGGCTTTGAGCAACCTGATCTAGTGGGAGGTGTCATGCCCATGGCAGGGGGGTGCTGGGACCACCCCTTAACATTCTGTGACTCTATGATTCTAAAACAACTTCATAGGGTTTTTTTTTGTATAAACGTCTTTAAGAGAAAGGTAATAAACCCTTCTGTCAGTGATTTCTCTGTCTGTGATTTTTAATTCAAGCACAGGTTTATAGAGTACAAAGGAAAAAGAGGTTTATTTTGTACATTCACAGGCACCAGAACCCAAATCCCACTTTGTAAATACTGGGTTTTTTTCTGTAAGCTTTTGTACTGTTCATGTTATGTAGATGGGAAGAAGGAGCATGTAGTCGGGCAGCATGCATTCTGTAGTGAGGAAAGGGCTGCAAAGAAGTCACTTCACAGCCAATTTCACAGATACTGTATATAAAGGAAATGCTGTGAAGATTGAGCATTGCCAGAAGATAGTATCCATAAAATAAAGGAGTCTTGTAGCTGAAGTTGTGTTAATGTTCACACATGGAAAGACCTTGGTAACATAAATAGTATTACATTACATTACATTATTTCCCTGTTCCTGCTTGTATTTATTTTCAGTTCAATGATAAATATAGCATTAATAATAGGATGCCATCAGACTATAGAAACAGTCAGTTTAGGCACTAAAATGCCTTCATATATTGGAGGGTTTCTGTAAGAAAAAACCAAACAAACTTCCTTTTGCAAAGCATTCTAACAGAAATAAAAATCCTCTCTTTTGTAATCTCTGAATTTGTTTAGGATTACTTCGGTGAATGTTCTGAGACGGCAATTAAGGACAATGTAGTAATTGTGTATGAACTTCTAGAAGAAATGCTAGACAATGGCTTTCCACTGGCAACAGAATCTAACATACTGAAGGAGCTGATTAAGCCTCCCACAATTTTGCGCTCTGTTGTCAACTCCATCACAGGTATGAAAAAATGTAATTTCAGCAATGACAACTGTTTAAAAAGAAAGCTCTATCATTCCTTGTAGCTAAAAAAAAATATATATTGGTATGAACCTGTAAGGTTACACACTGTCCTGCCACTTCTCATCAATAGGAGTTGAATAAAAACAACTGCCTCCTTATTTGCAGTTTATGCCTGGCCCCTTTGCTGTCCTTGGAGGCACTGCCTGGTTCAGCCACAGCTGCTGAAGTCCCTCAGGAAAAGCAGCTCCTAACACAGTCAGGACATACTGGAGACAGGTGCTCTGGGACTGGTACAGAGCTCACCCCAAGCCTTGAATAACTGAGGGGCACTGGAGAAGGTTAAGCATTTTGTAAGAAATCCTTATAGGAAGGTATATAATAGATACCTAATAAATCCTTGACGGGTAGGAACAGATAGCAAGAAGGGGAGCAAATAGCCTGTCCTCATCCTCCACCCTGCCCCCACCACCGAGCAGCACATGGATTCATATGGATTTGATTTCGCAACTGATTTCAGGCTGTTGTAAATGGGTCTGTCTTGCAGTGATGAAGCCAAATGTCTGTCAGCTGAGCTAGTGGAATCTGCTTGTCTGGCAAGCGGGTGCAAGGGAGGTGAGCCATGAGGTGTCACATGGGGGCAGAGAGATGCGAGACGGTCGCCTGTACATTGTATTAGAGAAGGGGAGTAGTTGGGCTGCAGGGCCACACACATAATACTCAGAGGAGCTGGTCTTTAAGGTAGTAAATATGGTTTAGTCTTTGAGTATAAATCTCATCAGTTTTAATTTCTGTTATTTGGAGTTTAGTTAGGTTTGTTAAATGTGGATTGGGATGTTAGTATTTACACTTATGAAAAATATTACATTAATGGACTAGATGGACCTCTGTAAGGAGAATTAAGACTCCTGAAGCCAAGGGTTGCAGCATCAAATCCTCTTGTTTTATCTAAAGCCTTATTAAAATTCCCTAGGAGCCTAAAGCGCCTGCCCAAGGCAGCCTGCATCTTGTCACTGTCAACAGCTGAGCGTGTGGAAACAGCAGCCTAAGAGGTCTCTTACCTACCTGGCCTGGCAGCACTGCTGCACCCTGCAAGGCTGCTGAGGGACAGACACAGCAACTGCTCCTCTTCAGAGATGCAGTGGGAGTGAGGAAATTGTTGTAACTCCTCCCTGCTGAGTTACAGCACATACAGGGGTGGACTTCAGGAAGGGGTTTTTTTTCTCAAAAAAAAAGGGGTTTACTTGCTCAAAAGAATGAAATTTTCTGTTTTCTTCCTGCCAGGCTAGGGCCTGCCCAAGCAGGTTTTGTAGAAATGATACCTGCCACCAGCTTCTCAGTGAAGCTGTTCCACGTGGCAAGACACACTACCATGTTCATTGTGCTAAAGAGCACAAGTCAGCATGAGCTGTGGCCCTGTCCCAAGACCTACTTCTACCAGAGAGAGTTGTTTCTAGTTGTTGGGATTCTGGCATCAGTCACCTAAGCCTCAGAAGTGATAAGATTTTTTTTTACCTTTTAAAGTATCATCAATTTACTTTATAACTACATAGCTCAGGAAGCCTTCTTCTCATGCTGGGTAGTATTGAGAACCAGGAGCCAAGGGTTGGGAGCAAGGCAGACAGGGACAGTGGCATTGTTGGTTGGGAGCCCAGAAGTTGAGGCAACAGGTCAGGGACAGAATCAGATGATAACAGGTCATGTACAGCTCAGTGCTTGCCAGTAACATCCATCAGAATGGGGCAGGTCAAGCCAGAAAGTCCAGTCTGGGCCAGGGTCTGGATCAGTTTGGCACATGGTAATGCATAGACATGGCTGTCATGTTGATGCAGGGTAGCTCATGGGTATTGAGAGGGTGAGAACCTCAGCCCAGCACCAGCTCCAAGCAAAGATTGTAGGAGCCCTCCCTAAGGCTTCTTACACATCTTTCTTGCTAATGACTCTTACCTGTTAATCAGCCCTGAAGTCATCCAGCTAAAGCTCTTAGGAGAAGGAGGAAGCAGGCTTAAGGCCCTCACAGGGAACTGTCATGTCTTGAATTAGTGATGAAATCCTCCACAAGATCTAGCCCCACATCTACGCCCACTCAAGCCTCTTGCTGACTTGAGCATTGTATTTTGCTGTGGAAGATGTAGCCTGAAAGCTGTTAAGTCTGGACACATGGCTCCAGTGCCTTCATGTCACCCTACAAATTGTAGGGGTCTAGGCTATAGCCTGCAGTTCTTGGGGGCAAGCCTTGATTTGATTTTTAATTCTGGCAGTTGAAACATTTCTTTTGTAATTACTTACTGATTTTGAGTTTCTTTTCATTTTTAAGGCAGTAGTAATGTGGGAGATACACTTCCCACTGGACAGTTATCCAACATTCCTTGGCGCAGAGCGGGAGTAAAATACACGAACAATGAAGCCTATTTTGATGTCATTGAAGAAATTGATGCGATTATAGACAAATCAGGTAAGATGCCTTTAATATTTGTTTATTGAGTGTGTTTACGTGTAGCTAATGATGTTTTAGAGAGAATACAGTCCAACCTTATTTTTTTGCATATGTTTTGTATACATGCATTTATATCTTAGGTAGAAATATTCAATATAAATTATAACTTAAATGCATTTTTCAGTGTATCTTAAAATAGCAACATGCTCTGGGGCTGCTTTGAGAACATCCACAAGAAGTATGTTTTTTGTTTGTCTATTGATTATCTCATAACAGGTAATAAATGGGAAAAAAAAAAAGTAGTTGAAATGTGATAAGAAAATTATCTCCCATTGTTCCTGCCAACAATGTACTGTAGTCCTTGAAGGCCCTCAAGTGAGCAAGACAAAATCCTTCATTAGGTTTCTTCTGATAACAAAATAAACTTGGTGCAAAATAGTTGGACAGTATTGTTTTCCTTATATTTAAGCTGGAGCCAGATATTATGAAGCATAATAATACTCCTTTCTTTTCTGTGAATGAAACATATCATTTTCAAATACAGAAGTTTTTATTCTGAGATTTAACTTTGAGGTGGAACCTGATAACTTGTATGCCAGGAAATAGGAAAAAAATTATGCAAAAAGAATACTGCAACTGTGGGCAGGAACCTGCTGTTTTGTTCAGTATTGGGGCTAGCAGTTAGCAAGGGTGAAAACTGCAGGACACCCTTATGTGGTGGTATGGGGCAGGGAGCAAACTTCTGATTATTCATTCAGTGCTCCTGTTCTAGCAGTGCCAGTGTTGGTTTGGTTCTTTACAGCACTTCAGCATCAGTGCTCCTGTTCTAGCAGTGCCAGTGTTGGTTTGGTTCTTTACAGCACTTCAGCAAATGCTTTGGCCACCGTTGAAGTGGATAGTCATAAATAGCTGTTGTGCAGCTCTTACTCTCCCCACCTTGAATCTAAAAGAAGGGCCCTTATAGAACATGCTGATGACTGTGTTACTGTCCCAGCTCCTTAGGATTCCCAGGAGTAGTGTGAGGGCTTAGTCTGAGAAGGTACAATCAAGACCATGGTCAGCTTCTGTATATTTCAGGCCAGTGAAATAGACTGAATCGAATGCTCGGTGTGCACTGAGTGTTTAATTTCCTACTGAGGATCTGCTACAGTAGCCATAGCTATTCCTTTCTGCTTTGATCCCTTGGGGACTAGCAATGCAAGAGCCCTTCTTTATAGCCTTCACTAGGACTAAGGTAGATAAGGTTGCTCCCCTTGAATAGGGAAATTACCTTATTTCATAGGGATATGGTCGACTGCTTTAACCTGAAACAAGATCTCTTCTTTTCAAACAAAGTATAAAGCCACCATTTCTCCTTCCCCTTGCCTAGATAAGCCAGTTCCTACCTATCTTCTAAAATTACCTTTGCATGTGGAGCTAATTAATTAGTCCAGAGTCCTGCTTATACCTTTCTGTTCTGAGAGGGTATTTAATTTCCCGGGTAAAATGCTTAGTACTCCTACTTTGAGGTTTGGGGCTTTTTGCTATAGATTTATTTAAGATGAAGATGAATATTTCATTTCACTGTTAAACAACCTTTACTTGTGAAAGCCAAGATTAGCTGGAGCTTTATAGCACCAACTTACTGCATTTTAACATTGACTGTTTTGATGTGCTTCAACTTCCCTGCACCAATACACAACTTGTTAGTTTTCTGGAGACTGGGGACAGGGATGAAGGAAAAGATTCAGAGCTGGTGTGTTAGGAAATTCTTATTTGCTTATTGCTGGCAACCAGTTGAAGCACATCCAGTACAAGTCCTGTGTAACAGCTGGCACAAGTATAATTAACCAATTTGGGACAGGCTGTTTGCTCTGGCTCATGTACTTTAGCAAGCTGCCCAGGACACAGGTAACTGGAATGACCTTTCCTAGCTGGGCTTGGCATGTTGTTGAGTGTTGTGCAAATGTCATCTGTGCCCTCTAGCTGTACTTCACCACATCTGTTAGGCCTTTAATAACAGTAAGTCAAGTGTCTTGTTTTTCCCTGCAGGTTCCACAGTCTTTGCAGAAATCCAAGGTGTTATTGATTCGTGTATAAAGCTCTCAGGAATGCCAGATCTTTCTCTGTCTTTCATGGTAAATTCAGCCTATATTTGGGAATCTTAATTGCTCAGGATTTATTTTTCTTAGTGATCAGAGTTAAACAACTTTAGGATAAGTATTTCATATGTTACACATATGAAAAGTAACAAGTGTTGCATTATATTGTAGAAGCTGCATTGTAGTTGCATTTAGTAGTTGGAATTGCTTTTGTCTGTACATAAAAATCCCCTCACAGGAACTGCTGTACTGGGTCAGATCAGAAATCCATCTAGCTCAGTAACACGTCTCTGATAGTGGCTACTCAGAGTCTCAGAAATGGGAATTGGGCAGAGTTCAGTAGCTAGCTCAACCTGCTAGTACTTGATGAGATTTCACGTACCATTTTGCCACTCCTTCCAGAACCCACGGCTGCTGGATGATGTCAGCTTCCACCCGTGTATTCGGTTCAAACGCTGGGAGTCTGAGAGAGTCCTTTCGTTTATTCCTCCCGATGGCAATTTCAGACTGATCTCCTACCGCGTCAGTTCCCAGAAGTACGTTTCCATTCAGACACGCTCCTTCTCCAGCTACACTACCTGCTGCTTTCCACCTGAGTAACAGCACATTCCTCCTTGTTAAGGGGGAAATTTGCATTGTTGAAATGTGCGTGCTCAGGTTTTGTCTCATCTGTTGCTCTGTCCCCACTAAAAGAAAAGAACCATTTTTCAGTGACCTGCGGATACTCAGCAATAATTTTTCAGTGGAGTAAATCACACATGACAGAGATACAGGGCTGTTCAGTTCTAGTAACTGTTGTTGGTGCTAGATGTTTTATGGGTAAGTCTCTGTGTACATGGAGGACTCTGAGCTTCATGAAGAGAGTAAAGCAAAAAAAGTCCAAACTGCAGATATTTGTAAACTAATGCCTAGTCTGACTGGTGGGTCTTCTGAGATTTGAATCAGTGAGATTACTTAAAAAAAACAGAACAAAACACAACACAGATGAAGAGAGAATAGGACAAGGTATTTGGAAGAAAATAAAGAAATTATTTTTTCCTGTGATTCTCTGCTGATAGAATCGTTTCAGCAATGATGCTGAAGAGCAGAGCATCACTTAATTTATCACTTCTGAAACAAACCACTTCTCACTTGAACACCTACCAGAAATGCAAGAGGTATTTATGAGAAAGTGCTTTAATTTCTCAAGCAGAGAAATAGCCAGGATGCATTCAGCTACTGTCTTCTCTTTTCAGCTTGGTGGCAATTCCTGTATATGTGAAGCACATGATCAGCTTTAAGGAAAATACTTCTTCAGGAAGATTTGATGTTACAATTGGACCAAAACAGAATATGGGAAAAACAGTAGAAGGAGTTGTCATGACAGTTCACATGCCAAAGGCTGTACTTAACATGAACCTCACTGCTACACAAGGCAGCTATACATTTGACCCAGTTACTAAAGTAAGTATTTCATTTTTATTTATTTAAATATTGAAGATGGCATTACTACAAGTCACCCACGCTGCAGAATACTGGAACAATGTTCCACACTTGGCAGAAAACTCTGTTCAGCATACATTTATGAATTAAAAATTTACCTTTAAAATTTGCTTTTTCAAACTTAGATACACTACAGCTCTGATTTTTGACTTTGCCAGTATCCCTTTCCTTCCCATCCTCTCTTTTCACCCTGCTCTTTCACCCACTAATATCTTTCCTTAGTGGATGCAGCAGTATTTTGCTGATAGTTTTAGCCATGATATATTTTGCAATATATGCAAAATATGTAAAAACATATTTTTCTGAAGAAAATGCACTAGCCTTTAAAATGGGTAGACAGAAAAACTGGGAGCAGGAGATGAAAAAAATTTCTTCCGAAAGATCTACGTAAAGACACACAGGAAAATAAAGTGTCTGAAAAAACATGTCTTGGGCTCCTGATTCCTTGCCCTTGAGTTGGGGCTTGAGACCTGAATTTCATAAAGCTCCTGAAGCCTTTTAGTACTGAGGAGCCATTTTGCTGAAAAGCAGTTTGAGCCAAACCATTCTGCTGGCTCTAATACCCTGCTCTGAGCTTTCTGCTGCCCTTGGAATATCTCAGCAGCAATTCATTGAAATTGTTAGGGAAAGTTCTCCAAGTAGCATTTTGTTTCAAAAACAATAGACCTTGATCTTTTTAAAAGAAAAGCACCAACAAAAAAACTTAAGGTGTGCTTTTCTCTCTGCAGAAATAAATTTTACTGTGTTTTTATCAAGAGTTGGGATAACTAGGTGGATTGAAACTGCAAAATTTTTTAAAGCATAGAGAATTGAGGCTTTTCTGCATTTATGAGTTTATGATAAGAGCAAACAAATCACTTCTTATGGGTGAGTAAAGGGCCTGCTTGGTTCCACATTTTTCCAATGAATGTAAGAATCAATGGCAAACACGTGAGCCTTGAGAAAGTTAGTCTGGCTTAGACATCTTTGGTCCAGTGCCTTGCTCCTACCTTCCTCATTCTTGTGTTTAAGTTTCTGTGGTCTTTGTGCTTATTACTGTCTTGGCTTCATGGATCCAGCTGACTTCAACAGACATCAGGGTCAATTATCCTTAGCAAAGGGAACACAATTTTCTCAGTGCACAGACCCACACTGACAGGGTGAATAAAATACCCCATACCTGCAGGAGCCCTCTCCCAGCCAGTGAGGTAATGCTCAGGGCTCCCAGGCTGTACCCAGGTCTGTACCCAGCCTGCAAACTAAAAGCTGCACATGAACTTGACCTCATGGATTGTTTCCTAGAATGCTACTGCTACTATTCTCTCCTTCCTGACAAGGTGCTAACATGGGATGTGGGCAAAATTACCCCTCAAAAGCTACCAAATCTGAAGGGCATAGTGAACCTGCAGTCTGGAGCCCCCAAGCCAGAGGAGAATCCAAGTTTAAACATCCAGTTTAAGATACAACAGCTTGCAATTTCAGGTGAGTAGAGGGGGGGGAGTATTATATGAAATTGATGCTGGCAGAACAAGTTGGTGTGGAAATGAAGTGGGAAACTGTTAATCATTTAATTTGAGATGAACATCTGAAGTCAACTTGGTCCAAAATGATAAGTCTGATTTACCCAAACCTGACAGTTACCCTTGCTGGAAGATTTCTTTGCTGGGAATTGTGAATTCACAATTGCTTTGCTCAAGAAAGACTGTGATAAGTATACAGAATAATTGAATTTTTCTTTGTTGACTGGTGCATTAAACATGCAAACATATCCTTTAGTGAAGATTGATGAATGATGATTTAGTGTGCTGCTCCCAACTTGCTTTAGCCTTGTACCACTAAAGCTCTTTCTAGTGGTCATAAAAATGCATTAATTTTGAAGAATGCTCTTCTTATTCTTTCCTTTTGGAGGTGGTTAGCTTTCCATCTTTGAAACAATCTGCAAGTGAAAGCAGAATGAAGTCTATAGCGTAGTGCAAGAGTAAATTTAAAGCAGACAAGGCCTCAGTCTTCAAACACTTAAATCAAGTGAGTTGTCCCTGTGTAAAATGCTTCTCCAATCAAGCTTTGCAGGATCAAGGCTCTAACAGTTCAAGAACTCACATTCAGAGAGGAGGTGGAGGAGGATGACTGAAGGCAGTTGATGAGAGTTGGTGGTAGTACATGTGGTACCTTTCTGGAAAGGTACCAGGCTACGGTCTTTTTGGCCCGTAGAGTTTTTGGAGTAAATAACTGTATTTCTGTTTAAGAACAGAATCCTGCAGTTTCCTCTTGAACTAGTTTAATCTAGCAAGATAGAGCTGGTCCAGTGGCTGGACACCAAAGATAAAGGACATGTGAGAAAGCACAGAACAACCTGAAGATGTGGGTAATTAATAGCTACTGGCCTTCCTCAAGGAATAGTAGAGGGATTGCTGGTTCTTGCAATTATGACTTGGATTGAAAAGAATTCTGAAACTTGTCCTTTGCTTCATCTCCATGATTGGAAAGAATACAGTGTACAGGAGTACAGGAGCTGTGGAAGATAGACTCGGTTCTTCCATAATTCATCTCTTGGAAAGAGGTTATTGGCTTATGGAGTAGAAGAGAAACATGTTGCCCTGCCAAGACAGCTATGATTAGGTGACAAGAATGTTCTCATATGCTGCTTCAAACCAGATGAACTTGTGAAAGAAAGGAAAATGAGCTTCCTAACCAATCCTAAGGTGCTTCAAGACAGCTGGATTTCTAATCAGACTGCTGTGATTCCTAGTGTTCTGCTTTTAACTTTGTACTTGTCTCTGTCTTTTTTCAGGACTGAAAGTGAATCGTCTAGACATGTATGGAGAAAAATACAAGCCTTTTAAAGGTGTCAAATATATTACAAAAGCAGGAAAATTCCAAGTCAGGACATGAGAAGATGCTAAGAGGAAATTCCCCTTAAAAAAACTTGACTGCTTAGTGACTTATGTTGGTTAGGTGCCAATTAATTAATAGACACTGATTAGTTTGGGATCAAAGCATTTGTGCACAGCAGCTCTTAGTAAGAAAGCATAGCTTAGTTTTTCTTAATATGCTTTAAAATAAGGTACTTTTTTTCTATTACACTTACACTCTTTTTTTACTGAATTGTTGTGCTGTTGAATAGTTTGATATGGGCAACCCACAAAATGTTGCAAACAGTACACTGCCAGGCAGATACCAAAGCCCTGAGGTCAAGCACATTCTGAAGGCCACTGGAGAAGTCTTCTGGTGGCATGTTTTGCTGCTGCAGCTGGCTGCAGAGAAAGCTTAGTTCTACCCACAGCCAGCTGCAAGCTGGCATTCCACAAAGCAGCACGTAATCCTTTCAGAAATAGAGAGCAGCAGTGAGAGGGGCAGGGGTCCCCCCAGGGCCTGGAACATTGCAAGTGTCACTCCTGACAAAGCTTCTGATGAAGTAAAAAATAATTTCTATGTTGTTTACAAGAAATCGCCTTTCTTAAGAAGCATTTGCCTTAATCAGCTTTCATTTCTGCCATCTGCAGATGAGCTGATAAAAATAACATCCTGCATTAAATCTGGGAGGTGATTGTTGCTTCAGTAATCCACTTTCTTTCCATTCAATCTCATCATCCCCACCATTTTTTTTAAGAATACAGTTGCAGAGAGTAAGATCTATTTTTTATGTGAAGCCTTTGCTTTGATTTAGATGTTCCACTTGTTAGAAGTGGATGCCACCAGATCTGTGCAGTGTGTACCTTCGAGCGTAGCTTTTTAGATAGCACAATAGAAGTCTTAAGTGTATTTAATGATTGTGTGCTTTAATGTTCTGAAATAAAGGGAACTCTACTGCAGATATGTCTCACCTTATGAAATGTTCATGCTTTTGTAAACAATTCGTGATGCTCTTAAGCAGGAGGCATCTGATAGACTATTAAACAATGTTTGCTACATCTTTACTGAATTTGATCACTGTGCAGCTGCTTAGAGTTTTAAAGGGCTGTTAGGAGCATGACAGGTAATATCCCTTTCATAGTTCTTATTTTTGAATGGAGGACAACTATTTACTTATAATATTTCAAAGACTCAACAGTCAGAGCAAAGCTGACTGAACTTGTTATATACCAACAAAAACATCTCTCTAAACCACTACATACTCCGGAGTAGCTATCGGGTTCCAGACCATGCATTTGGTCAGTATTAATTAAGGGTGGGATACCAGAGACCCTCTGTTTCTGTTTGGTTTACAAATTGATGAGTAGGTTCTAGCTTTGTTTCAGATGGAGAGCAGGAACCAAAGTCACTCAGTAGTCAAAATTTCACATGATGACAAAAAGTGATCCAGTCTGGAAAGAAGAGGGAAAATCCGTCTGAACCCTGGCAGCAAATCAGTAAGGAAAGAAATGAGCATACAATCTCTGTTTGTAACTTTGGTAATAATATCATTAGGGTAAACTTGGCCATAAACAACCATTTTGAATTTCTAAAATTACAGTAGATAAAACAGCACTGTGAAGAACCAGCATCTAATAAGATCTTCCATTTGTGTAGACACAACCCTGGTAATTAAAAGCTACCAACTTTCTAGTCTGCCTTTTTCAATTCATCCATCAGTTCAACACTCATCCTACTTCCACTCTGTGTTTTGGCAAATGGCATCCTTCAGGTACTGTAAGTGTAGAAGAAATCTTGTCTTCAGAGGAAGCTGGTAACATCCCAAGCTGATGTCTGAGCAGCTGGAGCTGCTCTCTGCATTAGCAGCCTTTCAGAGCTGACACCCTTCCTGAGCTAGCACATAAAGAAGTGTCAGCTCCAGTCCTGACCCCGGCGCTGCCTCCTGCTTGTGACTGAACAAGCCCCACCCGCTCCAGAACCTCGGGTACGAGGGAGGCTCACACAAAAGCTCAGGGGAAAGCCCAGCTCATCACAACTCGCTGTCAGCAAGAACTGCACGCCCCAGTAGGAAACCAGCCTGGGCATGGAGCTGTGTTTTGTCAAGGAAGTGGTCGCAGGTGTGTGAGGCCAATACCTTTTCTTGTACATATGCTGGTTCCTTCTGTGTCTCCAAACACAGGAAGCTCAACTGCAGAAGGGGGCCTGTGTTCCTGTTCTGTTTAGAAAATAAAAAAGTACCACACCTCTCTGAAGAGTAGATATTACGGAATCAGAGGATATCCTTAGCAAGGAATTACACTGCCAAGTTCTGATCTCCCCTTCTCATGTCCAGCTCTGGGTGTGCTGACAAAGATGGCTGTCAGGGTCTCATCTTTCAGATATGGAGAGAACTATGTGAACAATACAAAACTCTGAATTTTACCAATTATTACTAAATACCAGATGCCCTTTGGCACTATGGGGCTATGTTTGGTCCTACAGTACCAATGGACTTTGGTTCCACCAAGTCAGAACATTGTGTGCTGATAGAAATTTTTAGCAAGGAAAAATGTTTAGAAGACATTCTTACAGTGACAGAGTGAAGGAAATAAAGCAGTACTGTCATATTAATCACCCTTGCATTTAATTTGAGAAGTAAAATTCACATTTACAAGATGCTGGTCAGAGTAGCAATTCTTCCCTTCCTAACTGAACACAGTTTCCAGTAAGTTTTTTTAATTACTAGTTTAACAGGCACAAAAGACAAAAAAAAAATGTTTAATCTTCTACTGTGCAAGAAATTTAGCATTTGCTTTCTGTTCAGAACATGTAGAAACAACTGTTCTTTTGCTTTAGCTTTTTGCTGCTCTTCTTGTTGCAGCATCATCCACCACTGTTACCATTAACAAGCAGAAGCTGATATTTGTACAAATGCATTTTTATTGTTTTAACAGAACCAAAGAAAGGTTGAAAACATTAGACTATACAATACATTTTGGTTTATAAACAAAGTTGTATAGTGGTAAAACATTTCTAAGTGACATTCATGGTCTTGTTCAAATTTTTGCTGCACTTTAGGTCTGAAGACCAATAGTGTTCAAAAATGCAGTAATTGCATAAGATGGACAAGTATCTCGGCTTCTATAAACAGTTCGAGAACTTAGAGCGAACATTCCAGAATAATATCAAAGGCAACCATGATTCATTACTCTCCTGCAAACATTCCTCAATAAACAAAAAGTGATCTTTGGCATAAACAATTATGTATTAAAGGCATTAGTAATATTGCATTAATATCATTCAAGCAACTAAACAGTGATGCTAAAATAATAATAATTTTTTAAAATCTCATAGAGAAGTAAAATAATAATAATTTTTTAAAATCTCATAGAGAAGCCTGGATGGGGGAAGCAGGATGAGGGGATGTGAGGAGCACTGAAAAGCAGTACAGGAAGACTATTTAGAAAATCCCTTTAAAATAATCCCTACATATTCAGTGTTATGTACTATTAAATAGAAATTACTACATTAAAATTATGTTAAAGATCTGATAGAAACCCACCAAAATGCATCTAGGTTAAGGCTCTGGCACCCCTTCCTTCCTCTTCCTGTTGCAGGTAACTGCAAGAAGAGAGTACTAAGGAAAGAACCTAAGTACCAAATATTTCATAATACCCAGACACAAGGAGCAAATTCAAGACGAACACACGCCTTCTCTTGCTGAGGTCAGTTTGAGACAGTTGTATTATCAACAGTTTGACTTCCCTTTTTAGATAACAGTGCAATGAAGGGGGTGGAGGGGAAAGGTCCAAGCATAGAATAACTGTTGCAGGCAGGTAGAGGACAGCTGACTGTGCTGTCTCTCTTCGAGCTGTTAAGACTGAAGTTTTTCCCCAAGGACACTTCTGTTCAAGGTGGTTTGATCGTGCAACAATTCTCAGCAAATTAAGAGGGTGTTATGAGGTCAGTGCTGATTTGGGCAAAAGTCTGCAAGTATTCCTTGCAAATGTAAAAACTCATTCTCAAACAAGTTTTCCTTTCTATAGGGCAATTAAATGAATGTTATACGAAGGCATATTCAATTATGGAAGGATAAAATATCACAAGTGTATTTTAGTAAGGGGAGGGAGTTGCGGGTTTTACTGTTGTCATTTTGTTTGGGACTTTTTTTAAAGACACAGTAACACTTTATTCAATTCACTTGAGAAAAAGATTTTGAGACTCTAAACTCCACAAGCAGTAAAAATAATGAGGTATGTGCAGCATTAGGAACCACCATTTGCTGGTAGCCGCCAGCTTACCTAAAGAGGGTTTCACATCCCTGCAGAGCTCAGGTTTCAAAAAGCTTATGCATTGTTGGAAAAAAGAGCAGTGAGGCTAAAGGTATTTTTAAACTGAGTATCTTTATCTTTTCACCTTGAGTGGCTGAAATAACATTAGATGGAGGGAAGAGGGAAATAAGAATAATTGCATGTGCTCATTTGGTTTTCAAAAAGAAAAAGCCAGCATGTGGCATTTTCTGGTCGTGGACACGCAGCTAAGTTAAGAGAATGAGGATTTTTCAGCTCAATACATTGCTGAATTGAGCAAGGAAAGCGGTTCCATGATTTAAGGTCTCCAGCCATAAGGCTCAAGCTGTCAACAGTGTGCCACTATCATCATCTGCAAAACCTTTCAGTACAGTACGAGAGTTCTGGAATGCCTAACTACAGGGTGACAGGAGGGGGACAGAGACAGCTCCAGTTTCTGTTAAAGTACTGTTGCCAGGCAAGAATCAAAAGCAAAAAAAACCACCACATTTCAGACATGGAATTATAATCCTCGGTTTACAACTGTTCTGCTGCCCCACCTTCCCTCTTTTAATCAAAAACCCTGCACCTTCCATTATTTCTGCATGGTTTTAGAATAGCCAGATAAAATCCTGTTGAGAAGTTGAATGTTTGTGTATCAATGATTGTCCCTAAAAAAACTGCCAAGTAACCAAGTGTCCTAAATTCTCAAGACAAGCTTAAAGTGAAGTCCATGTTTTATATCATCACATGGAAACTACTGGAATATACAGTGCATAAATGAAATGTGTTTCTGGGAGTACAGAATTCACTAAAAGAATCTTGAAAAGAAAAAAAAAAAAACAAATAAAAAGATTTTAAATTATAAGAACTGTCTACTGTTGGCAGAAAATTAGAGGTGTTGGATATCAAACATGTTCCAAAGACATTTGAAATGCATTATAATTCATACCCTTAGAATGGGGCATTAGCATAAGCTAATCTTAAGTTCATGTATACAGCACCTTTTGCTGTTAATATATCTCTTCTGTTTCCAAAAAAAGGCATTTTTTTTTTGTTACAGAAAGCAATACTAACATGGCAAGTATTTACTGATACCATGGGGTCTTTCTGACCCAGCGAAGAGTGAATCCAGCATCTGTTCTTATCTTAATGGATGCTGCTTCAGCTTCTCTCACAGTTTCCTTCACAGACTGCATGAGATTCTGGGCATTATGAACCAACATCTCAGTTGCCTGTCAAGAAAAAGAATTCCCAATATATCAGTAACCATGATTAGAGCAGTAGTACATAAAGTCTGCACAAAGACTCCCAGTACAAATATATTAAGTCCACTGCCTGAAACTTTGAAAATCTTGAAAAGTGAAGTAACTGTCTCTGGGAACCAGCAAGTGTTATCCTGACTCAAAACAAAACTTTCCCGCTCCTCGCCATCTATTTGTGCAGAATCTGAATACAATCTTAATGTCACTAAGTATAATAATATCTCTTGGAAGCCAAAGCTGCGGGATTTCTGCTGAAAAGACGCATTTGGAAGGTAACTGAGCTGCAGGGGACTCGAGATGTCGGAAAATAAACATTTCCCCTGGAATCCACCCGAGGGCGCCCCTGCCCCTCCCAGGTCCAGCCTGCAGCGTCTGTGGGCGAGTCCTTGCCTCGGCTTTTTACTGGGCAAAGCAGGAGATTAACAAGTTATTCATCACAAAATTGGAACCCGAGTAGCTTTTTGGCTTGTTCCTCTATTGAGCTGTAGCGTTTGAGCCAGAAGCCAAGGTGCTGTTCCAAAGTTATCTTCCCTAAATTGCTGAGATGTGCTTCAACATCAAGTTCCCAGAGCACATCTGATAAAACACGTTTTATATTTGTCCCCATAGAAGTGATCAACAATTCCATGCTACCATCAGTCTTTACACCTCTTACCTGTTCTGACTCTTCATCACTGATATTAGTTCTGCCCAGCATGGTAGCTTTGACAGTGGAGAGAATTTTCAGCTGTGTACTGATGGTTGGGATTCGCTCACAGACCTAAGTAACAAGGGATAAAACCCATTTTATATTGTAAATTGAACATAATACATTATGCATCCATTTTTTTCAGATAAACTTTTTTATTTTCTTTTACTATTAGAAAATGAATGAGCACAGAGGTGATCCTATAACCTTCAAGACTATCTGATAAATATTGGTAGGATATTTGAATCTTATTTTACTTGCTTTGGGAATATTTGGGATAGAACCAAGATTTTTCCATTCTTCCTGACACTCCTCATACATCTGCTTGGTTAGGAATAGCATGATACATATATATATTTATCTGAGACTGGAAAAACTTAGAATTATTGCATTTCTGGTACTATTCTTTGATGCAAAGGAATGAGTGAATGAAATACAAAACAATACAGACTTAGGACAGGTCAGTATTTG